GGACGCTACTAGGGGCTCCTGGCCTTACTACTAGGAGCAAGGACGCTCCTAATTAATAGATCTTTGCAACTACCACCCTGATCAGCCCCGACTCACGAGCGCCACTTTCGTACTGGCGCTCAACTTAGAAGGCTCATGACCTGGCCATTCTGATACCAATGTTGGTTTCAAGTTCATGGTAGCGTTCTTGGTTGCAACCCTCGAGCCTGCTCGTAAACGCAGAAGATGAGCGCTGATCCGGGTCCAAGGCGAGCTACCTTCCCCAGAAAGCTGCACAAGGACTTAAGGGTTTGGAAGTGCATCCGACCTTCGCTACATAGCCCTTGTAGAGTCCAGAGAGCCTCAAGCTCAGAAAGCTGATGAGGCTGTCAAAATAAGAATAAATAAGAGTAAACGGAAGAAAACATAAGAAAACATTGCCAGGCCATTCAGCCTTTTGGGCATGCACCCATCTTGCCGAATCAGCCCCAAAGCCACGGCTCCAATTGAAGTTGGCCCTGTTGCAAATTCCTCAAGAACTGCATGTTCAAAACGACGGACTTGACACAGCGCAGTTTAGTAAGTAGAGTCAGTTTAACATGCTTTAAAAACGTTCCTATACATAGATACACAGCCAGGACAAAAGTTGGTAACCAACTTGTGAATACAAAAGCTACAGTACAACCCTTTCCCCTTCGAATCCTACAGGGGATCACGATGGAATGCCGGCGGACTAGTTTCCACTAGTATTCTAATTTAGTTCGGAGTGGAAACTATTCCGCCAGAATTCCAGTGGGGAGGAGAAGTGATGTCAATGACATTCTCGAGTGAAGTTGTTGCCCAACTTTCTTCCTCCTGAAAAATATTATATATTATATATATATATATCGCATTATATCGCGTTCAAAACCCCCTCCTGACCAGCAGCATGGCTGGACAAGGCACTCGCTGCGACCACCTCTGAATGGCTATGGTGTGCAGACCAAAATCCAAAAACTCTAAGAGCACTATCGTTGTATATCATGTATGTTGCTTCCGAAATGGGCATCGCGTCAAATCACCTCTCAACCTTGCCTGCTGCCGTGTTTTGACCACATCGAAGGGATTGTTGGCCGTGGCTGCGGCACCTCGGGCCAATCCGCAGCATCGCTCAGCTTCGTGACGTCAAAAGGGCAAAAGCAGCCTAGGCGCATCCTGCAATGAAGCCAGAGAGCAAATCCTGAGAGCATCTGAGAGCCAACGTTTGGCATGTTCTTTCCCTCAAAACCATTGCTATTACGTTGGAGGCCATCGCTAGTAGGTTGGAGGCCATCGCCATTGGAGGCCATCGCAATTAGGTTTCTTGCAAATATGTTATATAGCTCTGACGCTTCGACTTTGCTCTGACTGTGTCAGTCCAAGTTCGTTTAAACGTCTCATTGCAGGATGAAAAGACTTGGACCCTCACCCAGCAAATCTGCTGAAATCGACTGCTTCCCTGACAAAACATAGAAAACTGAAGAACCACACAATCAAAGTATCCATGAGGTCCGCGGAGCAAAAGCTTTAGAAGGCGCTAATCAGCTTGACCTCTAAGGTTAAATTCAGTCTCCTGCAGGATATTGGCACCTTCGGGGCAAACTTTTTTGTCTCGTGGAAGGCTGCAAAGTAAAAGCCTAAGAAGCACGGTTTACAAAGGGCATGGAATGAACGGATCCTGAAGCAACTTGTGGTGAATAACCTAGGGCTGTCACAAGAGTGCGCTGTGTGCTTGGCCACTGTGGCGCCCAACCCGGCATACCTGTCCACTTTGACCAGAATCACAATTCTTCTGTGAGAAGAAATGCGCAGCTCTTCAAAACTAGCATAAATTTGACTTTGGCACAAGGATGCCACACCACCAGTTCTGACCATGGCCTTACATCTACGTTTGAGCTGAAACATAAGCAATGGTCCATCCATGTGAATCCTGTAGCTGCATCTGTGCTTCCATGCCATGGCGAAGGTGGCCATGCCCGTCGCAGCAGACCCAGCGGCCTGCAAGCTTTATCCCTACGGAATCATCGCGCAGCTGTGGCTTCACAACCCGCCTTTTCACTCTGCATGCCAATTTTGAGACACTCCAAAGGGGTGATTATGCAAGCCTCCCAGCAAAAACGCACAACACGGAACAAAATCTTCAGTCCACATCTCTTCAGCCTCATAGTAAACGTTTGACTTCGACTTGTCCGATTTTGTCAGGTCACTGCCTCAGAGGCTCCAGCCAATCCGCCGGCCACGAGGCTGTGCTGAAATGGAGCCTGAGATCAAGATTGACATTAGAAGTAATGGCCTCCAACTCAATAGCGATGGCCTCCAACCAAATAGCGATGGCCTCCAACCTAATAGCTATGGCCTCCAACCTGATAGCCATGGCCTCCAATATAATGGCGATGGCCTCCAACTTAATTACTAGAAATGGCCTCCAACCTAATAGCGACGGCCTCCAGACAAGAGATCTCAAGAACAAGAGAATGTTACAGCATGTAAGAGAATTGGATGTTCAGCGATTCTTGCGTCGGGAGTCCGATTATTCGCTCTCTCAGTGTATACAAACAACCGTAGTCCTTTTTGTCATTTTGAGCTATTTTGATCTCTGTCCTTTTAGGTCCGCCACTTGGGGCACGTTCATGGTTCATCTTCGTGTCTTACAGCCGGATGTGACTCTTCTGTTCCCAAACATGCCGGACCTTCTGCTTCTCTCCCTTCCAAAGGATGGAGATGAAAGCGTCATAGAAGACCTCGCCAACTTCTGCTACAACTGCCAGGGCGCAGCCCGCATCTGAGTGGAAGGCAAATTTAAAGCCCCTGCGGGGGATGACCTAAGGTTCATTGGGTCTATTCAACTTTGCACATCTCTTTGGGTTCTTCAGCTGCAAATCTTTGCTCTGTGAAAGAATTTCAGATTCTCACCACACAAAGTCCAGGGACAAAGCCACGCCAAAGGCCTGGCAAACCTTGGTGGGCTACTAGGAGCAAGGACGCTACTAGGGGCGCTCCTGGCCTTACTACCAGGAACAAGAAGCTACTAGGAGCTAGAAGTTTCCATCAATGTTCAGCCTTCGACGCGTTCTACAAGTGTTCTCTTGGGAGAAAAAGAAAAGTAAGGGCCCATTTCATAAGACCCATTTCAACTGGACCCTTAGCTTCTTGTTTCCTCCCCTCTTATGTTTTTTTCTATAGTGTGTTAATATTGTATTCCTTGTTAGCCTTTTTCCTCAGGGCAGAAAGGTTCATTTCCAAGAAGCTTAGTAGCACGAAGAAGTAAAGTGCACACGAAAACAAGCATTCTTGTTCGTAGTAGAGGAGAGTGAAGTCCATTCTCTAGGGCAAACACATGCAACATTCTTGTTGCTTTCTTTCGGACTTTAGACCTTTTCTTTGCGATGCCCTTGCTCCTAGTAGCTTCTTGTTCCTGTTAGTAAGGCCAGGAGCGCCCCTAGTAGCGTCCTTGCTCCTAGTAGTAATGCCCTTGTTACTAGTAGCGATGCCCTTGTTACTGAATTCGGGATGCTTCCAGTCGAATTCGGACAACGCAAGTCGTGAGACGTCCAAAACTTGGTCTCTTTGTCATTCCCTAATTCTCATCAAGTCCGCGAGGCTGAGACCCTCGGCTCTTTGAATCCCTCGCATGGCGGCCAAGGTACCCTGCAGGAAGGCACTGAAGGCTCTCGGATAAAATCTTTCAAGACTTACCGTTCAAGGAAGGCATGGAGAAAGTCTCCAACGAAACACATTGGACATGGGTGCTATTGCCTGGAAGTTGTCCCCAGTCTTGATACCATCACCCTGAAGGCCACTAGCAGTCACTAGCATCTGGTTGCATGCAGTCTCAATCCCATCTGTTTCAAACAAGCAAAAGGTACCATTGTGCAGGAAGTAAGGAAGTCTCAGTTAGACTGGTGATTAGTGGCATTCAATAGAACTGGTCATATACTGTAGACTTTTGGTGCGTCATTGTGATTCAGTCATGTGAGATGCATGCAAACCATTGTACCTGGAGGTGCATACGCGTCTTGACGACATCCAAAGGCTGCATCACCAGCAGCTGCGAAAGGCGGTGCGAGTTCTGAGGACGTCTTCTCTCCAAACAGACCAAAACGAAAAGCCACAGAATACAGAAGCAAAGAAGCAACAAGTCAACACAACAAAAAAAAATGAACAAATAGACAAAACTAGACAACTTCCGAAAACAGGCAGTTCAGCGTGACCTCGGCGGTTGCTGCCACTCCAGCAGCGACAAAGCTGGCATATGCTGGCCTGCAAGAAACCCAACAACTGTACATCAACTAAAGCCAAAGAAAAGTGCTCTTCTGTTGAGTGTGTATGTATATATATATATATATGCTACCCCCCGAAACCCACCGTGAACACACCGTGCAGAAGATTTGCATGCAGATGCCAGTTGGTTTGATAGATTGCTTGTGTTGGTGAACCCTTTGACTATTGGTGAAATTGTTGAAGACATGGCTATTCAGCAGACAAATGGTTGAGCCACGTTCATTGTTTGAAGACTGCGTATTGTAGTTGATGAACGACATAGTTTGATTCCGGACGGAACCACAGGTGGAAGAGGTCATTTTTTTGGTATGCAGAGCAGGGAGGATGCGCAGCAGACTTGTGGATGCAGAAGAGGACGCAACAATTTCCCGCAGGTGGTCGACATCATTTTTAAACACAGCTCTTCGACATAACTTTGCCATTTCCCATGAGCAAAGTATGCCGGTGGAAACCCAGAGGTCAGCATTCTTGTGCCAGTATTCGTTCTGGGCTGACCGGAGCATGGCTCTCAGGGTCTTTGACCCGACTTTGGAATTTTGGTTCAAGTTCAAGGGCATCCTATCTTTCAAAAATCTCCATGCCCGGTCAATGATCTGCGTCCCGGCTTTGACCTTAATTGTTTGCTTGCCGCCTGGGATCTTGTGGGTAACGACTCGAACGTAATTTGTAGAAATATGACTTTGGGTTGTTTTTTTGAGGGGTACAATATAATATATATAGAGAGAGAGAGATGTCAGAATCGAAACGAATTCTCCATGCCATTGCTGCTTCTCGTGTCTCTCAACATCTGGAGCAAAGCATGTACGCCTGCGGGTTGATGTCGCCATTGCTGATTGCTGATGTCAGTGCATCCTTTGCTCAGGAAGGGTTGTTTGTTGCAACTTAGACCTGAAAAAGGCACTGGAGACAATCTGCGGGGGGATTTCTCCAGGTGCTTAGATTGAGGATTCAACAGAATGATTCCAATGTAGGAGAACATCTCATCGGAGTCAGGTGCAGTGCAGTGGAGCAACATGAACTTGATTGAGGAGGATGTCTCAGTGAGAGACTACGAATGCACAATAAGCTTCAAGCCAAGCAAAGGTCGCTGTTGCACGAATCAAGAGGCACCGACGATGTCCAAAATTGTTCATGGTGTTCGCAGTACATTGAAAATACCTTGTCAGTCCATCGGCATTTTCTCCACATATCAGTCTGTCCGAGGTCTGATGTTTGTGGCAAACAACCTACTCGCGATGGCCTCCAACCTAATAGCGATGGCTGGAATTGTGTGGCTCTTCAGCTCTTGCACTTCGGCAATCAGCTCCATACTGGCCGCTGCAGAATCACACTGCGACAGCTTGGCGCTTGAGCGGAGGAGTATCCTGCAAAGGCAAAAAAGACTCCGAGGGTTGACAGAGGCCCACCGAGCTGTAATGTTATATAATATATATATATATTATATATATTGATGTTCAAAACAGTAACTCAAAGCTCTGACAAATTTGGGAGATTCCGAACCGAATTGCTACTAGTAACAAGAAGCTACTAGGGGCCCCTGGCCTTACTACTAGGAGCAAGGACGCTACTAGGGGCTCCTGGCATCGCTACTAGGAGCATTCTTACTACTAGTAACAAGAAGCTACTATTGTTCATAAATTAACATTAAGCAATCCAGTGACTGATCCCTTCCGTACTGCCAGTTGCCTTGCGGGAGAAGAAATCAGTAATTCGCTTGCTGCTTAGGTGAGGCCTGCACCGACTTTTGTGTTCGGTGTTAGTCCGGTGGAAAAACAATTCTGATGGAAAAACAGATAGTTCCCCTCATATCGTTTACTGTAAGTCCTTTTATTTCAAACCAAAGCCATGATGCAGGTATGTGAGTGAGGTGGTGCACTTCTCTGAGCAAGCATTCAACATGCGGCACTCAGGAAGCAGCTGACAACGCTGCGTAGCTGCATTTCGGGAGAGCGTTGCAGAAGGCAAAGCTACTGGTCGACGGACAGTTGTCAGAATTGAGGCAAACAAAATTAAGACATGCAAATGCTGTGTCACGAGCAAACATGCTGCAAAGGTTTGTCAGGGGTGATTTCCGTGTCTGCGTGACTGCGGTAATTTCTGCTGAAAGATTCATCATCTGCTGTAAATCAGCCAGGCATGTGTCCTTTGCGCAGCAAGAGCGAGACCGCCACGTGGTCAGAGAGCTGCTGTGGCCTTGGATGCTTGGATGCAAAGCAAACAAATTGGTACAGTAGGCTGTTCCAAGGGACTTCTCATGGTTGGTTATTGGGGAGGCAACACTTGACTATCCCTCTTCAACTAACGTTCAAAATCTTGCAATTCTGAACTTTGCAGATGTTGGCATGGATCAGGTATTAGGAACGACCTAAAGTGATCACAACCTGTCAGCCTACTTGAGGGGGAACCCAAAGAACCCAAACCCTGCAAGGCACTTTGGGTGACACAAATGCTGGGTAGCCGGGAGGGCAGGTGGGATTTCGAGAACAAATAACCTGAGCATCAAACCAGGCTACCTGTCAAGCAACCGCAAACCCCAGGTACATAGATGTACATAGATTCCAAGCGTCTGAGTCTGTCTGTTTGGTTTGTGATTGCCTTGTGGACCTACCCGTCCAACGCTTGCCATTCTGATTTGAACAACTGCGATGTTTTTCCCACTGAGCACAGGCTTGTGAGTGTCATAAACGGCCACATATGGGGGCCCTCATGTCATTGCAATCATGGCCTATATGTTCCACCTCTTCAGACAGTCTTGTGACGAGCCACGTGTAGATAATGCCAGTTGATGGTCCCTGCCAGCAAGGTTTGGCAAACAAACACAACAAATCCGCACATCAGCAGCCTCCTTGTCGGCACGAAACTGGGCAATGTATTCGTCCTTGCAAAAAGTACTGGTTTGGGACAAGCACAAACCGGACGTTTGTTTTTTTGGTCAACAGTGGGAAGTTCTCCTCTTCCAGTGGAGGCCTCGCTCATCAAGACAAAGCTCAATCTCTTTCTCAGGTTAAGCAAGTGTTTCAAAAATCTAGGAATTTTCAATAGTGCGAGCACTTCTTGAAGGAAGCTCCCCCCCGCCGCCTTTAGGGCGGTAGGGGGAGCTTCCTTGAAGAAGCATGAGCTATCCTGCGTCCTACCTAAGCTACTAGCTACCGTTTGCTACTACTAGCTACCTACCTAGCTAACCTACCTACCAGTAGCTAACCTACCTCTAGCGGCCTACCCCCCCTAAAAAGAAAAAGATCAAGGCTGTGGAGTCTCGGTCTGTTCAATTCTTTTTTCCTGCCCTCAAGCGCATTGTTGGCTCCAAGTGTGCCGACCCTACGAGAGACTCAGCTAGCAAAGTAGGATAGTACCAGTTCGCAAACAAAAAGTACATGCGGTCAGTTGATACCAGCACGAACTGTTGCATGCCTTTGATGCTCTGGACTATTCTCAGGCATCCTCCTTTGCAACCAGTGTGCAATCGGCGAAAAAGATCATTCCGCGTTCGGATGGCTGAGACGCCACTGCAAGACGGTCTGTGCAAGACCATGTGTAAGGCGGGTCGTTCCAGAACCAAAAACCGCCGATTGAAAGGCGAGCACAAGCTTTGCTATTTGCCTACCAGACATCCCCTCAGTTCGCTTGGCAACGTCCTGGCATCTCAAAACTAAATTAAAGCAGCACTCCTACACTATTGATGCACACCGCAAAACAAAAAACAAACAACATTTGCCTAGAGTCATGAGCACGTGATCCATGTTAAGTCTTTTATTGGTAAAGTCCTCCAAAAACTTGTCGTCCAGCGATGGATCGACTTCTATGATCGCCCGTCCGCTTTTCTTGTGGTGGAGATATTGCTCTACGAAGAGTCGTAGCATCTGCAGGCGTTGATCAAACGCTGGCCTGGGAAGCCGAAAGCTAGACGCTGGAGCGAGAGCTTCGCTTAAGTGCGAAATGCCAAGGAAGGATCCGAAAGGATAAGTTTACGGGTTTGCACATGTTGTTTGCACATCGTTTCCTGCCTTGGGAATTCAAAGGATTCATCGATACGATCCAGCACCGCTCGGTCCAAGACCGATGGCACGTTTGTCGCAAGGATCACCGCCACGTTGGTATTCTCCGTGCCGGTATGGTGCAAGAACACCGACAACGCATTGCGGGAGTCTTCACTCATGGAACCAGTACCTGCTCGGCCACGACGAAGAAAGGCATCAGCCTCATCGATAAAAAGGACCAATCCCTTTCTTGAGGTTTGTGCCCATTCAAAGAGTTTATGTAGTTCATGTGGTCCATCGCGCCCGAGCGGTCCCAAGTCGCCGCCAGACATCACCGCATAGTCCAGCCCAGACTGACGGGCCAAAGTCCGTGCAAAAAGAGTCTTGCCAGTACCGGGCGGGCCATGCAACAACAAATGGCGAAAAGGAGTGCCATTCTGTTGTGCATTCAGCAATGCATTGGTTGACCACTGAAGCCGCTCTGCGAGGGTTTCTTCAAGCACAATTGACTCAAATAGGTTGGACGCGCTCCGATTGGGCAACAGCGAAAGTTGTGGTCTCCACGACCATCTGGAGGTTTCTCGCACCAAAGGCGGTCTGCTGAGCTGTCGCTCCACAACACGTGCCGCCACCCTTGTTGTTGCTCGAGCACCATAGACTCCTTTGCATGGCATTGGCCAGTCAAAATGTAAACTCAATGGCTGACTTGAAAAAGCAGTTAGCAAAAAACATGCTGACATTCAGGCAAGTTACCAGCTGCAAGCAGCGTCAAGCCTCCAATGAGTGTTGCAGTTTTGGCCCTGTCGTCATAAAGTGCTTGAGCTCCAGCAGACATGCTTGAGAAGAAGGCTTCGATGGATTCCAAGGCGGTCTTTCGGCGTTCAGCTTGCTGGGCACGGAACTCGCGTAGGCGGACGTCGATGTTTTCTCGCTCCTGGACGTACAGGAGCTCCTAGTAGCTTGTTCCTAGAAGTAAGGCCAGGAGCTACTAGTAACGTCCTTGCTTCCAGTAGCGATGCCCTTTGTTCCTAGTAGCTTCTTGCTCCTAGTAGTAA